CCCCCACCATTCAACCTGTGCTTAAGGTCTGTGTAGAGGATGTGAACCGGGTCTTCAGGAAGCAGAAATCTAGAAAAGCTTCAGGCCCAGATGGTGTTTCACCTGCCTGTTTAAAAGTCTGCGCTGACCAACTGGCCCCCATCTTCACACAGATCTTCAACAGATCATTGGAGCTGTGTGAAGTTCCCTGCTGCTTCAAACGCTCCACCATCATTCCGGTCCCCAAAAAGCCCAAAATCACTGGACTTAACGACTACAGACCTGTCGCTCTCACATCTGTGGTCATGAAGTCACTTGAGAGACTGGTCCTGGCCTACCTGAAGATCGTAAATATGAACTCATAACTGAATGTAACATAAAACAAATGATTACTTTTCGTTAAAAATCTTTATTAATCTTTATCTTTAATCTTTATTAATGACAGTTATCAGCTTGAGCACATATTGTAAGCTTAACCCTGCCTGGTTTACATGTTTGAAAATGATTAACAGTTGAAAACATTAGAAATTTAGAAAAGTAATCAAAAAGTAATTAAATGTAATCAGTTACATTACTTTAATAAAGTAATTGAAAAGTTACACTACTTATTACATTTTAAGTATGGTAACTTGTAATCTGTAACCTATTACATTTCCAAAGTAACCTTCCCAACACTGGTTGTGTGTTTTTAACAAACTTGTGTGTATTTGACAGTTTAAGCACAATAAGACATGAAAGAGAACTTAGTTTTGTACTCACATGCCGTGTGACAGCCACTTTCTGTGCTGTCACAATGTGTGCTCACAAAACATATATCAGAAGTTTAAGCTAACATGGTTTAAAATGCATGATTTCAGTGTGATAGACATGATAATCAAAACCAAACAGAGGTTTTTTAGCAGAGTATCGAGGTATGAGCTGTAAAGGCACAGCACTGTTCTGGAAAAGGGGGCAGGGAGCAGCAGCTCATTTGCATTTAAAGAGAAAATGGCACGGAAAATGGTGGGTTTCTGCTTCCACTCAAAAATCTGTGGGGTAATTTGAGCTGAAACTTCACAAACACATTCTGGGGACACCTGAGACTTATATTACATATTGTAAAAAGGAGCATAATAGGTCTCCTTTAAGTACAAAAATGTCTAAAACAAATTAAACAAACTTAGAAACTATATAGGCATATTTAAAAGCACAAAAACAAATAAAAAATGACAAAAACAACAAAATTTAAAAATTGAAATGAAGTCAGAAAATATAAAAATGTAATCTAATACAAAATATTAAAATACTATAATAGTACATCAATGCATGATCCATTTAGCCCTAGTCATGTAGACAGACCTTCAGACTAATGACAGAAGGTCTAGAATCCATAGCAGCTTTCATCTGCCAATGACCACCCAAGAGGTCGTCTGGCCAACATGTAAAGCAATCTTGATAAGTGCTCATTGTCAGAGTTTTAAACATGATGGCTTTCTTATTCCATGAGACAGTTTGCATCACAATGGCTTTGTTTCCAGACAGACATTTAAATGATATGACACACACGAATCCCAGAAATCCTGTAAAATCCAACCAATCAAATGACGACTTTGAAACTCGCAAAGTGTTCTCCATTTTGTGTGACTTATGCATTACACGTTCGGCCAATGGTCCATGGGCATGATGTCTTACCAATTTTATATATGTATACAGTACTGTGCAAAAGTCTTAGGTCATTAGTATTTTTACCAACAACAAAAAAAGGTTATAAACCAGTTATTTCTATCTGGCCTTAGGTTTCTTCAAGCGTCTTGGAGACATTGCCACAGTTCTTTAAAGTTTTTTTTTTCTGTTTCTTCATGTAAAGCCAGATGGACTGTATGATAGTGAGATCAGATCTCTGTGTGGAACATTGGCAGTTGTCAGACTCCTTGTGCTACAGGGCTGGATTGGTAATCGGGCATACCGGGCATTTTCCCGGTGGGCCGACAGAATGTTTTTTTTTTTTT